CAGGACTGTTCAGGCCTGATGCGTGCAGAGGCAAGATGACGTAGTGAGTGTATCACAGGCTCTGGTACCAGATCCCAGGCACACCAGTGTTTCTTCTTCATCCCCATCTTGTGAAGTGACGTTTTTTCTCCTTTTACAAAGTACTTGAAAAATTATTGTTGGCAAAGACAAGCAATATTATAAGTAGTGTTCTTGCAGACTGTATCTTCTGTAGAGGTAGATATGGTTGACGCAGCAGAGGCACTAACCAGCGGTGGAGCTGGTGGTAGGAACTGTTCAACCCTTATTTTGTTTCAGCTTTGCTTGAAAATAAGAGGCTTTGCCTAGAAGTAAGAGCTGTATGGCCAGATGCTGCGTTTCTTATCTGGAATCCAAGTAATGACAAGCACCTTTGGAGCTCCCAGGCATGCTGGAGGGAAGGAGGGGGAGCACTGGAACCCCACTGAGGTCCCAGACTGAGCATTAAACGCTGTCGAGAGCAGCTGCTCTTCAGATAACCCACAGTCCAGAGGCTGTGCGTAGCTGGAGGAGCTGCCTGAATAAACCTCAGAGCTGGTGTTTCCTGGGCAGCTTGGTAATAGTGTGGTTTGTCGACCAGTCCAGTCCATATCATTCTTCATCTCATCGTGTGTTTCATTTTCTGAGCTGATCTATACTGGGTATGTTCTCAGATCTGTCACACTGATTAAAAAAAAAAAAAAAAAAAAATTTTAAACCCATACATTAAAAAAAAAAGACTAGCCACCTCTTCTAGCACTCTGCTGCTAGGATCTGTCATGCGTGCTTTTCTTTTCTAGATCTTTTTTTAAGAATTGGGTTTTTTTTAACACTCAGCTTGGAAATACATAAAAAAAAGATGGGAAGCTCAATAAAAGTTTTTTAGGCTAAGTGGAAACTCTTGTCTACTAGAAAGTTAAAGCTGATGTATTTAGGCAGCTGCAAAATTAAATGTTTCGGAAGCAAGCTATTCTTCCAGCCGCTGCTGTTGTGGGAATATTAAGACATGAATAGCTTTTGGGGCAGTGGAATTACAAAGGGAGTCAAATGTGTCACATCTTTTGTGTGTCAGCAGCCCTCCTCATCTTTGATTTTTTTGGGGAAATGATCTGTACTCTTTGTTTTAGATCACCGTTATCGTAAGACTTAAAGTTAAAAGAACTTTGATTTTTTAGGGAAATGATCTGTATTCTTTTAGATCACCGTTATCTTAAGACTTACAGTTAAAAGAACCTAATAGGATTTTCTTTCATTTAAAAGTAAAAATACCAAGTATGGGTGTGCTGCTGCTGCTGCACGGAGCCTTTTCTGCAGTGTCCCACGAGGAGGTAATAGCCTAGCAAATCCAATTTACTTAGTGTCTGCAGTAAATTAGCAATTGCCCAGTCATGGAATATTTGTGGAGTATTTAGGTCCATGTGCAGTTGGTGAATCAGTGTGATTGCTGTTTAATTACGTGTGATTAATGAGCTTGTGCTGGAGCCACAGCCACTGAGCTGGGAGTATTTGGCCGGAGTAAGAAACCTTGGGGATGCTTGGTGGAGTGCGGGGCATGGTTTCAAACCGCTCATGGGCTCAGCGGTCCCCAGACCCCCATCCCTTCTTGCAGCATCCCGGCTGTCGGGAGAGATTTCCTCAGGCTCGGGCAGAAGAGATCCTGCAAATCTCCTCTCCGTATGTGTCTGGTAGCTGACACAAATCACCCCTCGCATCCTTCTGTACTGCTCAACCCAGAGATGCTCTGAGCAGGAGGCATGAAGAGAGCGTTTGGCTATGGTCCTAACAAAGGTGCAAAGCAAGCTGCAGCAATACACCTGGGTTTTGCAGCAGGGATCTGTGTGCTCCCATGCCGAAGTTGTCCATGCATTACCCATTTCCATGTGCTTGCACGCCGAGTCTGGATATTACACCCACAAATCAAATAAGCAGTAAATGGGGCATACTCTTCCAAAAGCCAAGCTTTCACAAGGTTGCTTATTAAAAAACAACAAATATAAAAATTACTCAACTTGTGGGGAGAAGGGAAAGGATAGTTTGTGTATCAAATAATTTGTTGCTAACCTAATGCAGCAAATGTTATTATAATTTTAGAAGGGCCATTTAAAATATAAGAGGAAGAAAAATGGATGGCACCAAACAGCCATCGCTTGACAACCTTTTTTCTGTGTTGAATTACAGTAGCCTCTCCTTCTAAAAAGGATCATAAACTTGTATTTTAATAACACAAAGAACAACACACAGATTATTTGTTAGTCCGTCTTTCATTTTACCAGAAACATAATAACCATCATTCTCTTAAATCATAAGCATTACTTAAAAAACTTTCCCAGCCTGGGCTTACAGCTGGCAGCAGGACCAGAGCCAAATTTGTCACTTATTCCCCTTTTGAGGCGAGGGTGTGAATTGCACTTCTTTTTTTGGCACCATCTGCAGCCAGACTTTCCAAGCAGGCGTTCTGCTGGCGCCGGCAGAGGCCCGCGGTGTAGCTCCCTTGTGTTTGAGGGCAAGGCGCAGATGCGCTTCCCTAGAGATGGGCCAAAGCGAGGGAAGATGGCTGAGCCCGCTGCTCGCTCTGGTGGCTCGGCCAGTTCAGAGCGGGGCTGGAGCCCGGGACGGGTTAATGGACGATCGTTTCATTTAGAGTTTGGAGCTTGAAACAGCTGCAGGCTTGACAGGAAATTTGGACGGAGGTAGAGGTGAGTTTTGAGTGCAGCATGTATATGTCATTCAATTGCTGCTTGCTTTAATCTGCCTTCAGAGCTGGATGGAAGAAGTCAGTCCCCTATGGATGCACAGCTCACATCACTCCTCTGGAGCAATGGCGTGTAGTCAACGCTGGTAGCTGGGTGGGGAGGACCTCTGTAGGGTAGGTAAGGTTGGCAGGGATCTCTAGAGACCCTCTAGTCCTGCAGGGTCACCTACAGCAGCTCACCCAGGGCCACCTGCAGTCAGGTTTTGGATATCTCCAAGGATGGAAATGCCACAGCCTCTCTAAGCGTGGAAGACAGCCTGGATGTGTATTTGCGATAATTTGTGAGAAGGAGAAAAGTCGAACGATGAAGTCGAGATCACGGGTTGCCACCTTTGCTGCCCTCACACCAGTGTGTTGAGGTGTACGTCCTGACGGAGAGGGACTGTGGAAGCGCTTGGCACCGTGTCCTAAAGCAGAGAGGGTCTGGAGCTTGCCTGCCCGTTGGTTTTACAACACACACAATTATGGTGCAGTATTTGCTGAGCACCGATGCAACGAGCTGTTGGGCAAAGCTTCGTGACAGCAGAGGATGCCTGTCCACAAGGCTTTAAGCAGTTGCCTCGGTAACCCTGAGGACAAGGTCTCCATAGATTAACAGCCTCTGGAAGATGCTGAATACCTTTCAGTTTAGAAACCACTTTCTGTGTTGGAATCTCCTTTCTTTACTTATTTATGACTGCGAATATTACATAGAGAGTGGAATGACTCTGCCTTTATTCTGGTAGCTCTGCTTTTTTCCCCAGAAGCGTGATCTCCATGACTTTCTGTCATGCTCCCTTTGATGTCAAAACAGTTTCTACTCAGCTGCAGGGCTGCAGCCTTGCATTTTGAGAGGAAAAAGAAAAACGTGCTGTGCCACAGGACTGCATAGGGTTTGTACATCTCTCTTCTGGATGGATATTCCGGTATGTACACATGGAAGTGATTTGAAAAAAGTTAAATAGATTTTTGCTAGCTATGTTGTCAATGGTGGCATCCAAGTTTTCCAACTGGGATGCTTAAAATCAAACGTATGTATCAACGTGAGACCCTGTGTAGCATGATTTGTGGGAGCCCAAGATACACGTGTCCTGCCTCTGCAGCCTGGGACTGCCCAGGGCAGGGAGCCCTGCTCCCGTCACCCTGGGTGCTGTTTGGGAAACAAAGACAGCACCCCAGCTGCCCATTATTTTGGCCAAATGTGTGATTTGTTTTAAGATGGAGGAAAAAAGCAAAGTTTGCCATCTGGCTAGGCTCTCACCCATAGAAAAGCCCTGTTTGTAAGCACTTGGTGAGGCATTACGGTGCAGTTCTGAGAACTGGAGTGGAAAAAAAAAAACAAAACCACAACTGTCAGACACTAAACTTGCGTAAAATAACTCAGATGGCTCATTAAGGGAACCAGTGGGAGACACTAACACTTGGAATTTTAAAAGCCGCATAGCTTTTCAAGCTAGAAGCGTGGAACTCATTTTCAGTGGTATAAAATGCAGGAGACTTTCCCATGCAGAGGTGGATGCAGCCATCCTAAAACCATAAATCTGGACAAGCTTTGTTTTAGGAGATGTCTCCCCAGACAGCACCTATTTCATTTTGCGAAATGGGGAAGAAATGACGCTGGGAGGTTTACTTCAATTTTATTTGCCTCACCAAGATACCTTGTCGTCTGGAGCGTGTGTGTCAAAGTGGAAAGCAGAGACACTTGCTTCTTCCTTATGACTCCTGAAAAACCAACAAAATGATTACTGAGCACAGTACAGTCACGCAGATGCTGTGAAATAACATTTTAGCAGAATTTTCGCATTGAGCAAGAATAACGTGATGGAGGTGACACTTGCGCAGTTGGATTAATGAGAGGAAGCAGTAACCAGCGGCCGTAAGTACAAATCACAGCTGGTAAAACTGCAGCCATGAAAAATAAATAAGCATGCATCGAAGAGGAAGGGATCAGGCAACAGCCTGTAGAGATGGAAGGAGGGGGATAAAAACTAGCAGAAAAACATGACTTACAATTACAGAAATCATTCTGACTTCCTCTCCCCTTATAAGGCTATAGCAAAGAACTTCTTCAGTGGGGTACCTCGGGCACCAGGAGGAGAAGATGGTGTCAAAGCTTGGTTGAGAACCTTTAAAGAAGATTTACATTTAAAAGCAGCTAAATGAAATTCAGTGTGGCTGTGTGAGGAAATACAAATTTGCTTTTACTGTCTGAGGAAATACAGGTTTACTTTTGCTGTCTGACGGTCTGGGTCTCAGGTAGGGGATAGTTAAGGTACTTCGAACCTCTGCCGTTGCCAAAGCTGAGGTGTTTTAAAGTGCCTCCCCAGCAGAAGGACTTTCTGGAGAAAAAATAAGCTGAGAAATAAGTTTAGATAAACTCTTTCTTTTACCTAAATCTCTTCTTTTTCCTTGAGCTTTACATATGTTACTGAAATCCCCCAGCAGTGCACGTGGCAGGTAGGAGTTACAGTGCGTGTTTTGCAGCTGACTGGAGCCAGGACTGTATTTAGGGAATGAGCATTGCCGAAATGGGGAGGAGAAAGGTGCCTTTTACAAAGGCATATATAAAATCCAGAGGCAGGGCAGTTATCTTGGTAAGAGGGACTATGCCATTCGCCGTTCGGCTCCGGCATTTGCTGCCACTTCGTGTTCATGGCGTTTGATCAGAGAGGGCCTATAAATACTGCACTATACCAGTGCAATTTGTAGTCATCCTCTCCTCGGGTTTGGGGGGTGTGTGATGCTGCCCATCAGTCCCGTGCTCTTGGACCTAGTGGGAAAGCTGAAGACAGCTTTGTCATTTAATTTGTGAGCGTTTGACATCAATGTGAGCTAATTAAATGGTGGACTGTTAAAGCCCTTTCTGGAGGGCTGCTGCCATCTAATGCGCCTGCTTGCTTGTGTTGTAGTCCGTTCATTCAATTGCGCTGCATCTTGCTGGCTAATTTGTGCGTATTCAGAAGAGAGCCGAAAGGAAAGGGATGCACGGACATGGTGGTTGTCCCTGCACTGAAAACGTGAATTCCCTGTTTCCTTTGCTGTCCAGGTTTTCTTGAGAACTGTGCTGCGTGCGTGGCGTGGTGTATTCTGCAGCCTGCTTGGCGTGAGTGGGTGGGAGAGGCATGCGGTCGCCCCACAGCTTGCTTGGCGAGGCTCAGGCATAAGGCTGGGGAGCAAAACTAATTTAAGTTTTCTTTAATGATTACATTGCCTCTGCCCTCCCCAAAGCAGGCTCTGGCTGCCAGCTGGACACACACAGAGGCAGCAGCCAAATATGGTGACAGAACTGAAGTATAGAGCAAGAACTGCAGACCAGAGCTACATCTCTCATGTAGGAAAGGATTTAAACTCAAGAAGAATAATAATTACAGGGAAACAGTGGGTGCCTACTTGTGATTATATTTATTTTAATCCATCTTCTGTTTAATTTCAGTTTTTGCCTGCGTTATTTAGTAAAAGGAGGGATTTTATAGGGGAAAAGGACCCGATGGTGGCTGTGGATTTGTCCCAGAAAACCCCAAACCTCAGGGGAGCAGAAATGGAGTGGAAGGAATCAATAATCTGAACATTCACGGGGGGGGGGGGGGGGGGGGGGCGGAATTCTGTTAGATACACTTTATGCAATTTGTAATTAATCCTGTTATGGTATGGATTGGGTGCTTTGTTTTTCCTTAGACGCATAATTCTTCAAAATTTCTGAAGGGCCAATAGCTCTGCAAAGGGACCAGAGTGCAGGAACCCAGAAGGATGCTGTGGATGAAAGCAGAGGCTTTTCTTGGTTTCAGTCTGATTTTGTGTCTTGCCACTTCCCTCTTTTGCCTTGCTGAAGGGGAGCTCTGCAGCTGAACGTTCATCCCAGTTGCTGTGGGCTCGCTGCCGCAGTGCAAAGTCTCTCCGGATGGGGGTTTCCTGCGGTCAGGCTGTGTAGGGTGGCAATTTAACTTAAAATAGGCTTATGTTCGTGCAAAACCATTCCATTTGATCGAGTATCTGGAAGGGAGCAGGGTGTTTCAGCCCTCACAAGCAGTGACAACTGAACTACTCTTACCTCCCTTCCTTCCTTCAGTTAGCAGCCATCAGAGGGAGGCCAGAGGGCAGCCAGACACACAGGAACACATGCAGGGAAACAGCTAAACCAGCCCGGTGAGGGGAATTTTTTTCCCCTTTATGCAGCAAAACCTACTGCATAACGCTGCCAGATTGATAGCTTCACGGATTGCTCTTTTCTAGAGGCGTGAATAAAGCTACCGCTCGCTTCTTTGCTGATGAGCTCAGCTGCCAGTCTGGGTGGGGAAGTGAAATAATTCATTATAACTCTTTATTTTATTGCAAGGTTAACCTTGTCTGCTCGCTGCAGAGTCTGTTGCAAGGAGAAGGTGGATGGGTTCATTCTGCAATTACTGGCCCTGGGTTGCTTAACAGGAAAACGTTTTTTTATTATTCCCAGCCTGTTGGAATAGCTGGTTCATAGAGAATCATCTTTGCAATGCTGTCAGAAGGACTTGCCTTGTTGGTCAGGCCTGTCAGGAGAGGTTTCCCACCTGGTGTTCACTGTAGTACTGACACTTCTGATTTTGTAACCAAAGAGGGGATAAACCATCTCATCTCAGTGCTTTTAACGTTTACCTGGAACACGCAGGTATCAGCACGTCAGTGCGCACAGCAGCCTCTCCACACCCTGTGCGGTGTTGCGGTAGGAAGGCAAAGGCTTTGAGGCGCCTGGTTTTGAGGCATGTGTTGAATGGGCTGGGGATGAAGCTTATTTCAAGCTTCTTTGAACATGACAAGTTTTCTTAAAGGCAGTTTTCAGGAGTCGTCTGCTCCTCTGCCTGCGCTCGCTGCGGTTGGCAGATCACAGCATCTCGCTAACCTCGTGTCCTCCCTCCGTTGCAGTGACGATGCAGCAGGTGGCCAGAACGGTGGCCAAGGTGGAGCTCTCCGACCACGTGTGCGACGTGGTGTTTGCGCTCTTCGACTGCGACGGTGAGTGACCCCAACCTCGCCCCATTCCTCTTGGCCAGGCTGGGCGAGAGTTGATCCAGGAGAAGAAACACAGGGTAAAAATGCCAGCCATGAGAGCTTGCCATGGCCTTGGCTCTTCTTGCCGTGCTACCATCTGCTCTTTGGCGGTGGGTCTGTACTGCTGCTCCTGCCCTTCTAGGAGGGGCATCTGATGGTACCCAGCTTGCGAGATGTCGATCTTAAAGCACTGGAAGCAAGTGTTTGGCATGCACAGCTTGCTACGCAGCTTCCCCCCTTCTCCCCCCAGCTCTGTTTTGTTTAACAAAATGGGCTGTTGTGTTTCAGTGTTGGAAACGAGCCTTCTGGTACTTTATCTCCAAAGTCCTGAACAAGTATCGGCTTAATTAATTAATGGCAGCTCTGTGCCCTGCTGGGAAGCTCATTGATTTGCTGGCCCACCAGAGGATGTGAGCGCTTTGGGATAGCTTGTTGCCACACTGAAGGAGTCTTGGGTTGATTTAATGAGAATTAGTGGATTCTTTGCCACCAGGGGATGATGGCAGCAATTTCGACTTGGAAAGTAGCAAAATACTGCATTTGCCAAAAACTATGAAGCCAAAACCAGAGACCTTGCTGATGCCCTGCTTCTCCAGCACAGTTACTGGGATCTGGCAGCTCTGAGCAGCAGCAGTGATGCATAAATACAGTTGTTTGCTTTCTGCTACATATATGAACATTAAAAAATATATATTCCATGTTGTCCCTCTTGGTTTCAGCCCTGCCTGCTTCTTTGCACCTTTCTAAGGTTGCATCTTGTTTTGTTTTGCTCTGTGCTTCAGTGCCACTTTCTGGTATGACCCTCAAGCCAGATGATCAGGCTGGAGATGAGAGTGAACCGAAGCACAGCTGAATATTCTCTGTTTGCATCCTCTCGTAGGAGAATCTGCTAAATATTTTGATAGCAAACCTCTGGGGGGAAAGACTGTGGTTGGCAGAGAAGTCCCAGTAAGGAAGGAATCAAGTGGAAAAGCAGGCGCAGACCTGTTTTTGGTTTTGGGGTTTTTTTGTGCATGTTTTCACTCTGTCACAGTGCATTGACATTAGCACACACACATCAAAAACCTGCAGCACCACAGGGAATTTTACTTGCCCCTCGATAGTTTGCTGGAATTTCACTGCCCAGATTTGCATTCGGATGTAAGGCAGGAAAAAAAAAACTCTCAAATGCAGAAAGTCATGAAATATAATGATGTGGTTCCCTGTATCAGCCAGAGGGTTCTCTCTCCTTTGATCTGGGGAACCAGTGGCACTGTCGGGTTTGTTCCTTGAGGGCTGATGTCCCTCATATTTCTTCAGTGCCCAAAGGTGGGTTGCTTTCCTGTGCTGCTCCCCAGAAGCTAACATCGCTGCTGTCAGCTGTGCGCTGTAGGCACAGGAGCAAAACAGGTAATGGGATACGTGCGGCACCGTGGCAGAAGGCATCAGCCCCTCAGCAGACAGGCGTCAGGCTGTTGGTCACGCCGTGGCTTGCTGCTGTCTCCTCTGATCAACTAACGGCCTAAACAAAAGTCCCAGAGGTTTTAATTTATGTATATGGCATAAAATGTGCCCCAATTCACTATAATCTTATTTTTAACATAAATTTAGTTGACATAATTCTCAATAACCTCACTAGATGAATGAATCTTCCCTTCTGCTCCATTAAGAACAATGCGCTGTTACCCTGTGCTCCCGTAATTTCCTAAATCGCTTAAGGCAGAGACTTTGCTGCAGGCACACGAGCATTTGCTCTGCATTTGCTTTTCTGTCTTCAAGCCCCAGTGCTCCAGGCCCTGCGAGACACGGCGGTGCCAGGCTCAGCAGGGCAGGGTCCCTC